TTTGACATGATATTGGATATGGATTGGTTGTCTCTATGTCGTGCTATTCTGGACTATTACGCTAAGACAACGACGTTGGCTATGCTCTTTCCTGATTGAGTGGCGAGGTTCGATGGGTTATGATCCCAGTAGAGTGATTTCATGTTTGAAGGCCCAGAGGATGGTTGGGAAGGGTTGTCTTTCTTATTTCGCCTTCGTGAGGGGAGTCAATATAGAGACTCCTACCATTGTTTCAGTCCCGGTTGTGAGGGATTTTTTCAGATGTGTTTCGTGCAGATCTGTCGGGCATGCCACCAGACAGGGATATTGATTTTGGTATTGATTTGGTGTTGGGCACTCAGCCCATTTCTATTTCACTGTATAGTATGGCAACGGAGGAGTTAAAGGAGTTGAAGGAGAAACTTCAGGAACTACTTGATAAGGGGTTCATTTGTAGACCAATATGGATGTGTGTGCTTGATAACTAGGGATTCTAGTCTATTTTATACTCCTTTTTGCTTGAGTTTTGGATTAAAAATGTATACAAGTAATCCCTAAAGCTTACATGTTGTGCTTGTTTGCAGTGTTTGGTCAAAAAAATGATAAGGAAGTAAAAATCAGCTCAAAAAGGAGTGAAACCTACACAAGTGCCAAGAACAAGTCAATGCACCGCTACAGCAGTAAATCTACCGCGGCTGCAATAGACTCACCGCGACCGTAGTGCTTTTATCGCGGTCCGCGGTGGCAAAGATCAGAGAGGATAAAATTCTGGAATTTCAAGCAATGCGGCACGCGGTTGATTTTTCGCGGCCGCTATAGCTTCTTCGCGGCCATGGTCCATTTGTTGCGGTCCGCAGAGAAGAGATTCAGAGAACATGAAGTTTGGAAGTTTCAAGACACCGCGGTCCGCGATCCATTTGTTGCGGTCTGCAACGAAGCCATCGTGGCCGCAGTCCATTTACTACGGCCCGCGGTGGCCAGATTCAGAGAATAAGATTTGAAGCTAAAAAGCCTCACCGTGGCCGCAGTTTATTTTCCGCGGTCTGCGGTACCTCCTTTAGGGGTATTTTTGTCCAGAAAATTCAGCATTGTATAAATACTTCTTTTCAGATGTTTAGGTCATCTTATCTGTAGCTGAGCACATGAATGCCATTTTTTAGCTATTTTGAGTAATTGTGTAGCTAGTTTAATATTGAATCTTCGAATCTTAGCTTGTAACTATATTTTATGGGTTATTCTTCATCTCAATATCTAATTTCTTCTATTATTATGAGTAGCTAGACCCATTAGTTAGGGTTGTGGCTCAACCCTAGTGTGGGCATTTGATGGGTCTCTTATTTTAAGGCTTAGATGTTTATGGGTGGTTGATATTTGGCCCGATTTGTGTTTTCCATGGTGAATTAGTGGTTGCAAATATTAATTTGTGCCTTTTTGACTTGGGCTCTTCTTGAGAAAGAGAGCTTGAGTCTAGGAAAATCAGGCCAACAAGGAATTGAGGCGTATTCAAGGGATTGATAGCCCCAATTAAAAGGTTAAACCTAGAGATAGTAATACCCGACTTGAGCCAATTTTGACACCCAATTGGTCTTGAGAAAGTCAATAAGGGAAAAGTCACTCAAGCTACCGAGAGGTATAGAGTGAGTAGTTTCTTGCATTGGCTATATCGCGATCCCAATCATAACAACTTTGCCTTAGGCTTTAAAACCCGTCAAGTATTCACCTAGGCGAAAGTCACTTCCCTAGTGCCTCTTTAACTATTTAGAAAACCTTACAAATATTTATACTTAGCTTAGTTTTGCATATCATTAGTATAAAATTAGAAGTAACAAACAAACAAATATGGTTGGAAGTGTAATTAAGAGCAGTACACACTGCTAGATCAGATAGGAATCCAACTCCAAACATTGTTGTAGCTCCCTGTGGATTCGATCCCGACCTTCTCAGGTAAAAGCTGCATTGACCGCTCTCGCCACTCTGTAGTGGTGTAGGGTTGGACCCGATCACTTTTTGGCGCCGTTGCCGGAGAGCTAAGCGGTTTTGGCTATCTATCTGAATAGTTTTATGTATTGTTGTTCTTCCTTCTATGATACTAATTTGTGTGTGTTGCCAATTCAGGTACAAAATGGCAGCAAACAATAACAATCACCCTCTTGGAAACATGATCCAGGGGAGGAGGTTGATGATAATGGTGAAGATAAGGTGCCTCTAGTACCTCAAGGACAAACGAGAGGCCGGCAGGCCAATGATAATGTTCCAGACCCTCCCCCACCTCCAAGAGTAGCTCTTCATGTGCTTCCAAACCAAGGATATGCTAGTGCAATTATCTCACCATGGATCCGGGCGGGCAATTTCCAAATTATAAATGTGATGTTGACTTTGTTGGAGCAGCGACGGTATTTCACAAGTGCTCCCCATCAGAATGCTTACAAACATCTTAAGGGCTTCGTGGATACCTATTGGGGGAGCAAGAAAACAATGTGTCAGAGGATGCACTTCGGTTGAGATTATTCCCTTTTTCACTTAGAGGGAAAGCTTTGTACTGGCTTGAAAGGCTTCCAACCATTCCATCACTACTTGGGATGTGTTGGCGGATAAATTCATTGCATAGTTTTTCTCACAGCGCCACATGGCAACCTTGAGGGATGAAATCTTAGCTTTCAAACAGGAGCCCAACGAACCATTGAATGAGATATGGGAGAGATACCAGACTATGGTAAAGGAATGCCCAAATAATGATATGACTGAGGCAATGATACAACAGGCATTCTACCGAGGCATTAACACAACAAATTATTGCATAGTGAACCAACTCGCCGGGGGCAATTTCATGAACACACCGTATGATGAGGCTAATGCAATATTGGATGAGATGACTGACACGTCCTCCGCTTGGCAAAGTAGAGCCAATGTGCCACAGGGTGACCCCACGGTCATTCACTTGCACAAAGAGCTCCATAATCATGGACATGCAATAACAGAATTGACAACAACAATGAACCAGCTAGCAAAGACACAATTACGGCAGGTTCAAACTCCACGACAAGTAAATGCTATGTATGGTGTATGTTAGTGAACAAAAGAAGACAAAGAGGTCAACAAAACCAAGGGAGTTCGGATCAATATGACCAAGATAGTGGTAGGTTCCAAGATGATGGGTATGATAAGCAGAATGAAGAAGTGCAATACGTGAACAACTTTAAGGGCCAAAGGGGCAATTCTTCTAACCAACAACAACAATGGAGATCCCAAGGAAATTGAGGAAATCAACAACAACAAGGGAATAGTAATTGGGGAAAAAACAACCAAAATTCAAATTGAGGCAACCGGAACAATCAGGGTAATTGGAGTGGCAACAACAACAACTAGGGTGGAAACAAAAATCAAGGTAGTTGGAACAATGGCAATCAAGGAAATCTGGGGCAAGGCTTTCAAAGGCCCCCGATGTATCAACAACCGAACAATCCACCCCCATTTCCATCCCAAGGTCCTAGTTCATCCAACAATGAAATGGGGAGAATCGAAATGATGTTTGAATAGATGATGTAAAAGAATGCTGACTCTGATGCCCAGTTGGCATCCCACAATACTTCAATCAGAAACTTGGAGGTTCAATTAGGCCAAATCTCACAATCCTTGAATACTCACCCTAAGGGGGCTCTACCTAGTGATACGGTAATCAACTCGAAGGGTGGGAATAATACCGGGCATGCAATGGCGGTAACTACAAGAAGTTGACAAGGCAGTAATGTGAATGCCTCCAAACAAAAAGAAAATTTGAGTGATGAAGTTGAGTTGCAAGAGGATGATATCCCTTTGGTGGTTGATAATGTGACTAATGAGAACTTGAATGAGGAAGTGAGGATTGATATCCAAGATAACGAGGTGGAAACTCAAAATGACGTGAACCCGTTTAGGGAACACGTAATAGACATGCCGAAAACGGTTGTGCCTAAAGCCAAAGCTCCTTTGCCAAGGCCACCTCCACCTTATCCTTAATGGCTTGCGTAGTAGAAAAATGAGAACCAGTTTAAGAAGTTTATTGACATGATGAAGAGCTTATCAATTAATGTGCCTTTGGTGGAGGCTCTAGAACAAATGTCGGGGTACGCCAAGTTCATGAAAGACTTGGTGACAAAGAAAATATCCATGTATTGTGAGACCATCAAGATGACCCACCAAGTTAGTGCAATAGTGCACTCGATGACTCCAAAGCTAGAAGATCTGGCGCTTTCACCATTCCTTGCACCATTAGGAGTGCAGACTTTATAAATGCTCTATGTGATTTGAGGGCAAGTATCAACTTGATGCCTTACTCCATTTTCAAGACTTTAGATATTGGGCAACCGAGGGCTACTTCAATAAGGTTGCAAATGGCGGATAGAACTATGAAGAGGTTGTTTGGTATTGTAGATGTTGTTCTTGTTCGGGTAGACAAGTTCATTTTGCTCGCTGATTTTGTGATCTTGAATTGTGAGGTAGATTATGAGGTTCCGATCATATTGAGAAGACCTTTCCTTGCAACTAGGAAGGCCTTAGTTGATGTGGAAGTAGGGGAACTCACCTTCCGGGTGGGTGATGAAAAAGTGGTCTTTCATGTGTGCAAGTTAATGAAGCAGCCCAACAATACTGAAGTGTTCTCTTTTGTGGATCTTGTCACGACAGTGATAGTTGATGATACTAGTGCAATGATCAATGCAGAGGACCCTCTAGAGGCGGTATTGTTGAATCTTGATGTAAATGAGGGTGAAGGTCGGGTGGAGTGTGTTAATGCTTTACATGCACTACCAGAAAATGGGCTTATGGGAACAGTTTTTTGGTAACAGTTCACAAACCGTTGCTATAGAGGTGATATAATAATGGTTCAAATCGTTACAATAGAATTTGGCAGGTATCAGCACACTTTAGACCTCAAACCATTGCAAATGTAACAAAACCGTTGCCATAGAGTTTTGTGTCACAACGGATTTGTTAACCGTCCCAATAGAAATGTATATGACAACGATTTTGGGAAAACAATTCTATGGGAACGGGTACTCAATTCCCTCATTTTTTCAGCTGAAAATTTTACTGGCTCGCCAAGCTAATTAGTGACATATCATTTTCTTATTTTTTAAAATTTTTAACATTACCAGCCTACCTCCCAAAGTCCCAAACGTATCCCCAGTATTGTATCCAAATGTACTCCCTCATTGATACATCGGAGCTCCCTCGTCGATTCACCCAGAATCGCATCTCTGATCTTTTTGTTTTTCATCTTTGCCGAGTTTAATGGTCGAGTTTCATCAAATACCTCTTCATTAGACCACCATAATCATCAAACCCTAGAGTTTCCAAAGCCCAAAACCCCAAGGACAGTTCTGTCGGTCTTTCCGGCACTTCGCCGGCACTTCTACAAGGACAGTTGCTGCTTCAGCACTTCTCCCGCACTCCTTCCCCAAATCACCAAATTAATTTATTGTTAAGAGGTGATTCTTTTTGTATGCTTTTCTTGTTTTGATTGTTCTTTTATCTGGGTTTTTCATAGAAATGTAACAGATTTATCAACAAATATTTTGTCTAACGCTTCATTTGGATTTTCAGGTGGTAACCTTAGATATGTTGCTTCATCTGGTGCAGTTTGCAGGTAAATTCTTATACTTTTTCCTCTGTTAGAAGATATTTTTTTTGTTTTTGGTTACTTTCTCTTTGGGGTTTTCTTTCTTTGTTTCAAGCTTTTGATTTTCTGATGTTGGTTCTAGGTTTATCTGTAAATTCTTTTCTTATTTGAGATATATATTTCAATGGACATTATTCCCCCTTGGTTTTGCTGCATAAAAGGTTCTGTTTCTTATTATAATTATACACTACAAGAAAAAAGGCCTTTAGCTAGGGGAAATTCGGTCGCGTGTAGGTGATCTAAGTTACAGTGAAAAATTGTCAGGTCGAGCTTGTTCCTTCGTTTTTCAGTGAACATAATTAAACAAATATTCTATATAGTTTATGGCCTAATTTTTGGGAACTAGTATAAATATTGGAGAAATAAATAAATACTTAAAAAGAAGCACCACATCTACACCCTCACTATTATGAATCAAGCGAAGTTTAATCAGCAGTTGCAAATTTGAATCAAATTTGAAGTTTGTCCCGAGATTACAGTTGAAAAATGACTTGACATAAGTTATTCAATACGACTTGTGCATTGAGATCTGAGAACTCTTGTGTATATTTACAGTTGCAAAATATGTTTGTTGATCTAAGTATGAAAACCTAGTCTTTAGTCATCGAGCTAGTCTCAGTATCAGATAGCTAATATGATATTTGGTCGTCACTCTCACACGGAATGGCTGAGTTCATTCAGTGTTGATTTATTGTGCATGTCTCTGTATTTCAGGTTGAAGCTGAAGAACAACCCGAGATATCTGTGTTGTACTCTATTTTTTTGTTCCTTACTTTGTCTTCTTCAAGGTAACTCACATGGGAATTTGCTTTCCTTGTCCATGTACTGTTTGTATATCTGCTTGTGTTTGTAAATCTGAGAGATGGAGTTAACATGCATAGACAAAGTTGATGTTGACTCACAAACATGCACTTGTGATGTTAACCTTTTGCTAATGAATTCCTGATTTTCAATTCACAACTGGATGTATTTAGTTTATAATTCTTAGTTATAAAAGGATGAGTCTCTTTATTCAAGTTAACCACCCTTCATCTATAGTAACTAATTTTCTTGCTTTCCTTATAGCAGATACACTTATGCTACTTGTTAATTTGATTCGAAGATAACGGAGAATTATAGTCTTGGTCAATGGTTGTCCATTAGCTTCTAATGTTATCAACTGCCTTGTTGAAAGGTTGAGTATTTGGTAGCACTAATTTCTTAGGTGATATATGTAAAAATCCTATTTTTGCATTTGAAGTTGGGCAGGATCATTTGTTACATAAATATAATAGCTTTGATGACATATTGATATTGATAAAGTGATTTACAACAGTTTCTTATTGTCTTATTATATTGAAGATCTGAATTTAATGCACTTGTACCTTGCCTTTGCTTTTCAGTTATGTTCTTTCTCACCTTTTCAACTTTATTTTGCTATCAAAGAACTTTTCTTCAATGTTCTACATGAAATATATGAGAACCACATAAAAATTGATTGTATTGTTAACTTAAATATTTTTTGCTTTCACTCCTCAATTAACCTCTCATACTGGCACTGATTGTAATATTTTGCTAAACTGTGAATTCTGGATCTATTAGCTTTTTCAAAAGATAGTGCAAAGGATAAACCATGAATTTGTAACTTCTGTTAGTTGTTCTATTTCCCAAGTGCAGGCATTTCTTTGGATTTATTAAACTAAGACTCTATGATAAATTTACAAACTTTTGCTTTCACTATTTGGTTGAGGAGTTAAGTGATCTGTTTGCATTCAAGTCTTGAAGTCAAATCAAACTTTTGCTTTTTCCATTTTCTGCTTCTAAAGAAACTGAAGTGATGAAAGTTTTTACTTCTATGGTTCCATTCAAATATATCAATTGAATAATTCATTGCAATTGAAAAATTCTTGTTCAAGTTTCTTAGTTTTCTAAGTGCAGCTGAATCTAATAGAAAAGTTATTTTGAAGATGTGATAAAAGCTACCACTGCTTCTGTGTCCAATGACAATTTTCTTTGATCTTATTTGATCCAAGATCCTAAATATTTACACTGCTGATCAAAAATGGATATAAGTTAATTACCCATAATAAGACATGATATACTATGTTTGCTGCTTTTGCAAACGTATATTGTGTTTGCTTTTCAGAATCTGAAAAATATTTGAATAGTTATGAATCAAGAAGGGTTCTCAAGCAAAAATAAGAAAATATCCAACCGCATTACAACTGGATCACTTGCATCTTTGCGAAATCAAAGGGTTTCGTCGTTGACAACAAAAAGAACCTTCCAACCTACAAGGTCAAATGCAAATGAAGAACGACAATCAGAAGGTGGATTATTACCTTCATCTTTGCGAACCAAAAGGTTTCGTCGTTGACAACAAAAACAGCCTTGAAAGCTCTAAGGTCAAATACAAATGAAGAACAACAATCCAAAGGTAGATCTCAATTGCAAGAACAAGTGCAGCAAGTGCCACAGAATTGCACCTCTTCAGCAACACAAGGAGTACATGAACAAGTACAACAAGGGAATATGGATTCCATCACTCCTGCATCACAGGGAGTACATGAACGATCTGATGATTCTACCTCTCATGAAGCAGTTGAACAATTTGAGGAATAAGGCAAATATATATAAATATTCCAATATATACTTGGAGAAAGTATAAGAGTCAATTGAAGACAACTCACTTCACAGCCTATGAGAATGATGAGCTTCGAATAGAGAATAGGCTAGTAGATATTCCGAAATCTCACTTTAAGGATCTTCTTAAATATTGGAGCTCCGATCCTCACAAGGTAATTACATCCAGAATGTCTTGTCTTGTTTTAACATAATTGTTTTTTGGTGCCTGAGTCAAAAGAATCAGATGTAAAATAATACCGAACGTGAAGGTCTTAGTCATTTCAAGAATAAACTAATTTTACAGTTTTACTATTATTGTAACTAGGAGTGGGCATACTGTATTGTCCCAAGAGAACAAAGATGGTTTGGGACGATGTTACTCTCCTAGGCTTTGGTAAATCTGTTTGCCACTGCTGAAGTGTTTGGGTGTTCTGTTTGCACATTTTTTGTGTGCTTGTTCTCTATAGTCTATTATTGGTTTCATTTGTAGTGTAGTTACCTTTGTATGTGTATTGTCTGCTGAGCTTACTTCTCTGCCCAGAATCACATTATGTGTAATTAATCTCGTTCAGGAACTCCATGAAAGCACCAATGTATACAATCTATAGTTTTGTTTCATCCAAACTCCAGGAACTCCAGAAATTGGTTCTGTTTCATTGTAGCAATTCTGACAATTTGCTTTTCCCCAATCTTCCGTCTTGCCATGTTATGTTTGAAATGTTTCTATAGTAAATTATTACTACTACTAGTCAGTTTGGTCGAATATGATGTGGCCAATTTTATCGAAACATATCCCCAAGAAAAGAGAACAGTTGAAATGTGAAGATCCTGTCACAACTAAGTATAAGGTCTAGATGATGTAAAAGCATATTTCTTAATATTATAAGCCATCCATTTTTTACTGCCCATATGTGCCAAACTAGTTGGTTACAAGTACTAGGATGATCTATAAACAGGATAGATAGAATAAAAAATAGTTCAACAAGTACAATCGTCCAAGCAAGATTTTCTGCAATCCTGCTCAACAACTGAAACCTGAGAAAAAGGATATCCTCAAAGTTTCAAGTGTTGAATCATGGTGATATTGTAGGTTGAATCATGCTGATTAAAATGGAGAAGATAAGGGCCGAATCTACTCACAAATCCTTTCAGTGTAGTTATTCCACTAATCCACTTTCAAACTTACAATTAAAATGGTTTAGATGTTGATAGATACATTCACGAATACGTATAATTCAATAACAGATAATTGCTAGAACCCTAAATGCCTTTCTTTCTCCCAACTAGTTTTAATGATTGTACATTCTGTACAGAATAATTCTAGTGTGCACATTAGCTAGTACTTCCAGGTTATTTATAGTGTAAGTTTGCGAGTTTCTTGCATATTTCCTTTTCAATTGGTTGATAGTTGAAGCGTGTGTATTAAGTCTATGTACCTTAGACTAATTTATCATATAAATTTGTTACTTCCCATCAGAACAAGTACCAAGTAACTTTGCCTTATAAGTTGAGATAAGATATATAGGGAACGGTATAGATAGATAGGTGAAAACAGCCTAGTTTTTGTGACTTGTATATTAGTCAGCCTGGTGTTTGTGAATTGTATATTGAATCTGTTGAACTCATTTTTTTGCCACTCAGTAAGTATGGCTAATCTGGGAAATGGTTTGGGTTAGCCAACTGATGTAGTCTACAGAATCAGGCTTGGGCTGCGGTCCATCCCTCTCTTTTCAAGCCCTTAACTAGGTAGCAATGGTCAACGACAACATGATTCAATAACTGTTTTAATCAGCATGATTCAATAACTGTCTTCATTTCTTGGTTGACATTAAAAATCCCGGTAAGCAAGAACAAGCACCTATGTTGCTGCCATTTCTTGCAGTACAATAATTGTTTATACCACAGAATCCACTAGTTTGGCATTGATTTTGTAGCGATGATAAATTGATTTCCAAGCTCGATTCATCTCTGCCTTCAAAACAGTGTGTATAAAGCCTAAAAATACCATCAGGATTAAGAGTAGCGGGATAAATCACTGTCTTATTTGGTGTTCGAGTTGAGCTATTTGCTATTTCGTTCACTTGAAAACCAAAACCATTAGAAGCATTCCTAATTGCAGTAAATCAATCACCTATTGATTGACTCGTTTATTTGCAGAAAATGTCCGAAACCAATACAGAGAATCAAAATAAGTTGAAGTGTCTGCATACTGCTGTCAGAACACCTTTTGCTCTAATTCGCGTGGTTTGATGTTTTATCTTTCTTATTTTTTTTTAAATTATGAACTTGCTAACTTTATATGAAAAGATTCTTATACCTATTTTTATGTAACTAGGAAAAAAAGAAGAAAATCTCTGATACTTCAGATACTCTATCAAGTAAGGACATCTTTGTGGCTACAAGAAAAAGAAAACTTGACCGAGTATACAAAAGCTCATATGACAATACGATTAGTAAAATTGTATGAAATTTCTAATTTAAAGTTTGTTGTGATTATTTATTTATTATTAATTATTGATTCAATTTTAGTTACTTAAAACTCTTTCTCTTGTATTTGGTTTGTAGGCTAAAATGGAGTGAATACAATCAACTCAGGAAAGTGAAGATGGTAGTCATTCAGTTGACGCTTTTGCTTCAGCCATGGGACCTCAGGTCGCGTGAGATTGTATGGACGAGGGGTTACCAAGACTTTGTTAAAAGGGCAAAAGGGAAATCTTGAATCTTCTTTAGATGCTGATGAGAGGATGCAGCAGAAAATAGAGAAAATGGAAGAGAGGATGCAACAAAGAATGTATGAAAAGTTTAATGAACAAAAGGATGCTATAGAACAAAATATTACAATGAACGTCATTGCACGACTTCAGCGTCTGAACCCAGATTTACGACTTGATCCTGACATGTTAAGGTTCGGTGCACGTTCACCTGTAGATGCTTCCTCTGCACAACAAGTTGTTATTCAACTAAACAATCGACCATCTACTGGTAGTAATAATCAAGGTCAGTACGTACCAAATATTATACATCTTCTTCTATTTCTTCTTCTCCTCCTTCGTTGCTTGGGATTTTGCTTTGTTTCAAGGCAGAGTGGATATGGTAATATCTTTTTTTCTATTTAGTAGCAGTATATAAATAATACTATGAGAATTTAGCATGTCTGCGCACAGTTTCTTGATAATTTGCTAATATTACCGCTTTTCTTTACTGGGTCGTTTGATTCTTGATTTTTCAATTCCCGATTAAAAAGTTAACTTTAAACAAACATTAATTATTATTTCTATGCACAGGTTTATAGGTTTATGTATGATTTGCTGAATTTGCCATTCCTTTATGCTAGGTAGTTTGACTTTTGATTTTCTAATCCCCTTAATACTCACTGATTGACATGAAATCATGAGATTGTGAAAGTTGTTATTCTACTAGTCAAATATTGAATAGAGAAGCTGCTAAGGTTATTGGAGAAGTACAAGCACTAATAATTTTCCCCATCATTCCATATGCTATCCTAGCAATCTTCTACATGTTTTGGTTTTCAGCTGCACTTCATCTTTTTAGTTCTGGACGAATTGTCCAGAATGATTGCAACACCAACTGCTGTGCATATGATCTTAAATCAAAAAGAGTGAGTTGTTATAGTTTCTGTGGATACACTATGAACTTTTCGATACTTTGCTTGTACAAGAATTGTAGCTCTAGCTAGTCTCATGGTACACTTTATTGTTTTTAAACAAGTTCTTGTCATATGGAGAATTGAACTCAAATTCCTAAAAGAAAATCACATTGAGAACTCAAGAAATGGATGAGATTCATCAAAATTATTTTGCTTAAAGTATTAAATATTTCCCTGCACATACAATTAATTATAAGCTCTTGAAGGGTAATAACTTTGTTTATCCTCTTTTGTAGGTGGAGTAGATCAAGAAATAGATGATGAAGACGATGAAGAACTAGACCTTACTTGAAATGAATTCTGAATTGTTATAGATGAATGTTCTAGGAATCTTTTGTTACCAACATTTTTGAACTTATTTACTCTCTTGAAATGTACTAAACTTGTGCACTTGTGGGGTAGAACATTTGCTTTATGGATATTATTTGTTTGATGGATAATTTTGTATTAATAATAGTTTTATTTTATGATGTATTTAAATTTGAGTGTTATTATAATTTATTATATGTATAAATATTTATTTATAACAGGTGCTATATTTTAGTTTTAACTGTACTGATACAATTGTCTACCAGAACCGTTACAATAGGACACAAATGGCATTCCAGTAGACAATATAAACCGTTGCAATAGGTCACATTAACTATTCTAAAATGATCTACAAACCGTTCCAAATATAAATATAACTGTTACGATAGCCTAAACAAACTGTGGTTATATCCAACATAACCGTAGCGATAGCTTACATAAGTGTAGCTTTAAATAATATGGTAATGGTTTAAAACCGTTGTATAAACAATATAGTAACAGTTTAAAAATGTTCCAATCGAAGAAGATAACCGTTCCAACAGAGAAAGCAAAAACTGTTGCGATAGACGTATCTACTGTCACGGCTATGCAAACCATTGCAAGAACCGTTCAAGTAGACCTATGGGTACGTCAGCTGATGTGACGGTCTTTAAACCATTCCAATATCCCTATGGAAACGGTGTGGTAGTCTGTGGGAACGGATTTTCAACCGTTACCATACCCAATTTTTCAGTAGTGATGGAATGGGCTCTTACTCTTATGAGCCTTGGAAGCTCTCTTTGGATATTGTGAATAGGAAGACTCCACCAACAAAGCCCTCAATTGATGAACCTCCCGTGGTGGAGTTGAAGTCGTTGCCTCCACACATCAGGTATGAATTCTTAGGCCCTAGTTCAACTTTGCCAGTTATTCTTTCCTCTTGTCTTACTAACATGCAAGTAGATGCCACATTGGCGGTGCTCCAAAAATGAAAGAAGGCAATTGGATGGACTTTAGCTGATATCCGGGGGATAAGCCCTGCCTTTTGTACGCACAAGATTATTCTTGAATATTATGCAAAGCCCTCCGTGGATTATCAAAGGAGGTTGAACGAGGCAATGCAAGAGGTTGTTAAAAAGGAGGTGATCAAGTGGCTTGATGCAGGGGTTGTCTACCCCATCTCGGATAGTTCTTGGACTTCGCCGGTGCAATGTGTGCCAAAGAAGGGTGGTATGACCGTGGTTACCAATGCGCAAAATGAGTTGATTCCTACCAGGACTGTCATCGGATGGAGGGTGTGCTTGGACTACCACAAGCTGAATAAAGTGACCCAAGAGGATCACTTTCCATTGCCTTTTCTTGACCAGATGCTAGATAGACTTGCTGGGCATTCCTTCTACTTTCTCCTGGATGGGTATTCTGGGTACAACCAAATTTTGATTGCTCTGGAAGATCAGGAGAAAATCACATTCATGTGTCCGTATGGTACCTTTGCCTTTTCTAGGATGCCATTTGGATTATGTAATGCACCGGCTACATTCCAGCGATGTATGATGGCCATATTTACCGATATGGTGGAGGAGATTTTGGAGGTGTTCATGGATGACTTCAGTATTGTGGGTGACTCGTTTGATGAATGTTTGAAAAATCCCGGGAGCACCCGAACAATATTCGCAGCTCACTGAATGGTCCAGATTTCTGGGAAGGGGATTTGGCAATTTGGTTTCAACAGGACTTAGTAGGCCTATCTGCTTCAATTTGTGAAACAAAGTAGTATAGGTTTCTCCCAACGGAGTGAATGTTCTTGGCTTCTGCATCCTTTCGTTCCCAAAAGCCTGATTTTCGCGGAAGTTTGGCCCTGAAGGATTCCTGTAGGCCCTCGGTGGTGGATATGTGTTTTGTGGAGGTAGATACATATGTTGGGGAGCCGGTACACGCCATTGCGGACGAGCCAGAGGCTGGGTGTAAGTTTGGGCGTGATATATGGAAAAATGTTGTTCTTGTGGTGGGTAGTAGGGTTGTGGAGGGTTGTATGGATTATGTGGGTAGTTTAGATGATGGGGTTTGGGTTGGTAATGAGGGGAAGGGCCTTTAGATCTGGACCAATTTCCCGCCTCTATTGTTGTGACCTCCTCTCTCCTTTTCTTTCTTGACAGGGTATTGGCCCGATATGAAGAAACCAATCTTGTGCTTAATTGGGAGAAATACCACTTTATGGTCGAGGAGGGCATTTTCCTCGGCCATAAGATCTCAAAGCAAGGCATAGAGGTGGACAAGGCTAAAATTGAAGTGATCTCAAAGTTTCCTCCTCCTACATCCATCAAGGGGGTTAGAAGTTTTCTTGGGCATGCGGGGTTCTACCGAAGATTCATTAAATACTTTTCTAAGGTAGTGAATCCTTTGTGCAAGTTATTGGAAAAAGATACCAAGTTCGTGTTCAATGAAGAATGTATGAAAGCTTTTGAACTCCTCAAGTACAAGTTGACCACCATTCCTATTATTACCGCACTAAATTGGAGATTGCCTTTTGATATCATGTGTGACAGGAGTGATGTGGCGGTTGGAGCGGTCCTGGGTCAAAGAGTGAATAAAATGTTTCACCTGGTGTATTATGCTAGAAAAACAATGAATGATGCTCAAGCGAATTACACGGTGACGGAAAAAGAGTTGTTGGCTATTGTGTTCGCAATGGAGAAGTTTAGGCCTTATCTCATAGGTGCCAAGATGATAGTTCATACCGACCATGCCGCACCCCAATACTTGATGACGAAGAAGGATTCCAAAGCTCAATTGATGAGATGGGTCTTATTGCTTCAAGAGTTTGATTTGGAGATTGTGGACCGAAAAGGGTGTGAAAACCAAGTGGCTGACCACTTGTCCCGCTTGGAGGAGAAGGGGAGGCCTCGTGATGGCCTTGAAATTAATGATTCTTTCCCTGATGAGAAGCTTCTCTCCGTATCTGTGAATAGCATGCCATGGTTCGCGGATGTTGCCAACTTCCTTGGGACTGGTATTATACCGTGTGAGCTCTCTTCTAACCAAAGGAAGAAGCTTAAACGGGATAGTTTGGACTGCTATTGGGATGAGCCTTACTTGTTCAAGATATGCATTGATGGTGTGATCCGAAGATGTGTCCCGAAGGAGGAGCAATTGAGTATTCTAGAGGCTTGTCATTCCTCTCCCTATGATGGTCATCATGGTAGGGCGAGGAAAGCTTCAAAGGTTCTTAGTTGTGGTTTTTACTGGCCAACATTGTATAAGGATGCAAGTGAACTTGTGAAGAGATGCAATGAATGTCAAAGAGCGGGTGGAGTTTCAAAGAAGGATGAGATGCCTCTCACCACTATTCTCGAAGTTGATATCTTTGATGTATGGGGCATTGATTTCATGGGCCCATTTGTTAGTTCATATGGCAACACATACAATTTAGTGGTAGTTAACTATGTTTCAAAGTGGGTTGAGGTTGTGGCTTTACCCAATAATGAGGCCCGGAGTGTTGTTGCATTTCTCAAGAAGAGTATTTTTACTAGGTTTGTCACTCCTCAAGCAATCATAAGTGATGGGGGGTCTGACTTTTGTAATAGAGCTTTTCACACTTTGCTTGCAAAGTACAGTGTCAATCACAAAGTTTCTACCCCTTATCATCCTCAGGCGAGTGGCCAAGTTGAAGTCTCAAACAGGGAAATCAAGAGTATATTGTCAAAGATGGTCAATGCAAATAGGACCGATTGGTCAAAGAAATTGGATGATGCTCTTTGGGCTTATAGGACTGCTTACAAGACTCCGATTGGTATGTCTCCGTACCGGTTGGTGTTTGGGAAAGCTTTCCATCTACTGGTCGAGTTAGAGCACAAGGCTATGTGGGCTTTGAGGAAGCTAAATTTTGAATGGGATGTCACAACAAATCTTTGTGTGGAGCAGCTTAATGAACTTGATGAATTCTAATTTCATGCCTACTCCAGTTCGTCCTTGTATAAGGACAAGATGAAGTACCTTAATGACAAGTATGCTCGTGGAAAGGAGTTCAAAGTGGGTGATATAGTTCTCTTGTTCAATTCTAAATTACGTCTGTTTCTGGAAAAGCTTAAGTCGAAATGGAGTGAACCTTTTGAAGTGGTGCTTGTGACTCCGTTTGGTGCACTTGACTTGAAAAACAAAAATGGAGAGATCTTCATATTTAATGAGCACAGAGTCAAGCACTATCTTGCCAATATTGATGACAACCACGTGGTGGCAATGATCCATCTAAAGTGATTTGATGGTAACCAACGTCGTTCCGCGACGTTAAATCAGGCGCTTCTTGGGAGGCAACTCATGTGCCTTTCTTTTTTGTTTTTCTTTGATTTTCTTCTTAGTGTAGGATTTGCTTTTGGACTAACTAGTTGTGAGATGTGTGTAGGGCTGTTTTGATGCAGTGTAGGACCAAATTGGAAAAATGCTGCACTCTCTGAAGTTTGGACTGCTGCTGCGATGCATTTTTCACGGTCGAGATGCATTTTTCACTGCCGCGATGGGCTCACTGCGGAGGCAGTAACTGACCGTAGTTAGTGGTGCTAAATGTGCAAAAGTGATAGTTCTCTGAAGTTTCAACCGCGGCCACAATGCATTGTTTGCGATCTGCGGTGCCTTACTGCGGCCGCGGTGGATTTTATGCAGTCCGCAATAAAGTCCATGCCACTGCCCTTCTGAGTTTAATAATCGCAGTCTGCGGTGGATTTTTCGCGGTCCGTGGTGGGTAAGTAGTGTGGGTCCCAGGTCTTTTTCTATAAATAAGACCTCAGGCCCCCTTTCACATTTTTCGCTCTTTGCATTCTCACACAATATTGAGTATTGTTCACTCACGCACTGATTTACACAACACAAGAACTGAGCTTCATCTGTATTGCATCTCACTTCTGGTAATCCAAATATATCCTTAATCTTTAATTTTGTTTTTATTTTTTTAATTTGATAGTTCTTACTTCTTCTTCTTCTTTTGTCTTTCAATTTTTAACTTAGGGTCTATAATATTAATTAGATTAAGTTTTAATTAGTTAGAAATGGTGATTAAATACCTAGTGGGTTAATACTATGTTGATTAATGCTAAAATGTAGGAAACTTTGAAACCCTAGATGCTGAGCCCAAAATTTGACCGTCGTGGTCCGCGGTCAACTATCTTTTGAGAGATTTTAAAGCCTTGATAACC